GCCAGCCCTCAAACACTGTATTTTTTAAATGCAGAGCATTTCATCATGATTTCAAAATGGCCCTAGTAATAAGGAACTTCACTGCCCTTCTTTTAAAATAGAAAGCGGGAAAATGACAGTTTCTTTAACAAATAAGTTAAAAAACTAAATAGATAAGGAGGGATTTTAAAATATTTAAGAAACATATCAACCAATGTATGGATTTTATTTGGATCCTGGCTTGGAAAAAAACTACACAAATAGTAGTAGTTTTGGACTCTAACTGGATATTGAGGAGAATAAGAAAAAAATGTCTTTAGGTGTGGAGACAGTGGGGTTCTTCTTTTTTAAAGGATGCTTGCATTTTAGAGATATGTACTAAATATTTTTGTATGAAATCATATGATGTCTGGTGTCTGCTTTAAAACAACCCAGGGGATAGGGGTCAGGAGGGGTTGGGTAGGAGAACAAGATGGACCATGAGACGGCAACTACTGGTGCTGGCTGATGGGTTGATGGGGGATTGTTATATTTCCACTTTATTTTTGGATATGTTTGAATTTATCCATAATAAAAGATAAACAATGGAAATATAATACTTGTCCAAAATGTTTATTACAAACTAGTATATTAAATTACAATGACAGAGTATCTGGAAGTTGGTACATTCTGTGGTTTGGCTTTCAACACCTACACTGGATTCTTTCCAAGAAAGTGCCACCATGGTTAGTATCAATGGGAAAAGCTCATCCTCACATCTTCCCCTGATGAGGCCGAGGGCTCGGAAACTTGCAGGGGGAGGAAAAGACAGTCCAAAAATAGCTCCAATTGAAAAGGTCAGAAGCTACCAAAAAACCTGCTCTGGCCCAGGTTTTGAAGCTTCCAATCTTTTTTCTAAGAGAGACATTTGGATGCTGGGTTGAGAAAGTACAGGAAAGCAGCAGGAACAGCTCAGCCCTGCATAGAGAATTGAGGACAGAATGATTCATTCTCTAGTATGCCAGGGGCTTGACAGCCCAAAAGACCCAATGGGAATTTGTGTAGAATAATGAATGTTCAGTAATAAAGAAAGAAGCTCAAGTGAAAATAAAAAACACAGTCCTGTGACGTCTTTTTGGGTGGCCCTCTAGGAGAGCATTTTCCCACAGGCAGGAAAATGAGTCTGACTTGGTCCTGGTGACATCACTCCAGGTTGAAGGACTGATTTAGGTTGTCCCTTTAAACATGCTCCTTTTACACATTCATCATATTGAAAACAGGACCACCTGTGAGT